GAGCACACTCAAGATGAACCTCTCCATAATCTTCCCCGGTACTGAGGTCAGGCTGACTGGTCTGTAGTTCCCCAGATCCTCCTTCCGGCCCTTCTTGAAGATAGGCGTCACATTTGCCAACCTCCAGTCATCTGGGACCTCCCCTGTTACCCAGGAATGCTGATAAATGACAGAGAGTGGCTTTTTTCCGTTCCCCTCCCCTCCCTTCTTCATCACCATCCCCATCTTCCAGCCTGGGAGGCTGGGTACCCTGGGGATAACTCGTCAGGCCATTAAAGACCGAGGCAAAGAAGGCGTTGAGTATCTCAGCCTTTTCCTCGTCTTTAGTGGCAATGTTCCCCCTTGCATCCACTAGAGGATGGAGGTTCTCCCTGGCTCTCTTTTTGCTGTTAACATATTTATAAAAACTTTTCTTATTATCCCTTACAGCAGTGGCCAGGTTAAATTCCAGCTGGGCTTTTGCCTTTCTAATTTCCTCTCTGCATAACCTGACAAGATCCCTGTACTCTTCTTGGGTTGCCTGCCCCTTCTTCCAGAGCTGGTAAGCTCTCCTTTTTTTCCTTAGTCACAGTAGTAGACCTCTGTCCAGCCAGGCCAGTCGTCTTCCCCACAACTGCACTAGGAACTGGTTTGTCTTCAAACATCTGAAAGAGAGAGAGGAGAGAAAGCAGATCGAGCCTTTCCTCATCCCTGTGTTGTCCAGAGCTTCTTCAACTGCACTAGGAACTGGTTTGTCTTCAAACATCTGAAAGAGAGAGAGGAGAGAAAGCAGATCGAGCCTTTCCTCATCCCTGTGTTGTCCAGAGCTTCTTCCAAAAACTGCACAGGTCACTCGAAGGCTACATATGTACTGGTGATTGCATAAAGCTGAAAAGTCACTACGCTTGCCTTGCTCAGAGACACACCAAGCAGCCTCAGCTCTTGCCATGGGTCACAAACACTATATTGAGTGGCACATGTCCAGTATCTGTCAGGCTCAACCTTCTGTTCCCGTAAGAACATTTCATTTATGAAGCACGGGGATTTTGTTTTTCAGCATGAAAGCGTACAGAGCTCCACGTTTCCTAACCTCCAGGTGGCACTCACCCCACACCAAGTAATCCACTGAAAAGGACACTAAGCTATAGCAAAGCAGTGTTACACAATTCCTTTTTAATTCCAAGGGACATCAAATAATTCCAGATTCTTGACTCTGTCTGCTGTGTGTGAATCCAGAGAATCCCTCTCCTGGAGGGTTCCCACAAACAGGAAGGTACGGGAAGCAGGATGGTCGGAGCAGCGCACGATTTCATCCTTCCACTTCACTTAGCACTGGCACTGTTTCAGCTGAAGCACTTCTCCCAGTTTTGGACAAAACCTTCCATGTCTTACCCTGAAGATGTGGGCCACTAAGCAGAGTCTAGAGAAGTAATGATGGTAACTGGAGTACGGGAAGATATGGCTTATGAGGAAAGGTTAAAAAGACTGTTGACATTTAACCTGAAGAACTAAAATCAGTCTGGGAAGAGGATAAGTCTTTACATACATGTAGAGCTCTGGAATGAGAGAAGGAATCATTTGTACTTCACATGATCGGCAGGCAATAGCAGAAATAACAGGCTTAAATGATAGCAAGGAAGAATCATGTTAACTTCTGGAGAAGCTAGTGGTAAGGCTAATATAGCACTGCAATAGATTCCCTGAGGAATCTCCACCTTTGAAGGTTAAACACACACATCCATCAAGAATGGCGTATTTAATAGCATTTGTCTTTTAGTGTATAAATTGAATGATAATCTGAAGAGCTTTTCACCAATTCTCAGATCTACACCAGAGTTGCTTGGATCAAAACACACTTTGCAAACATGACTTTTCAAACACTTTCAAAATTAAAGAAAATATCCTATTTCAGTTACACCAGGTTTAAATAGACTGCACCGCTAAAATACAGATTCATCACCTATTTTTTTTGAGAAAAAATGTATTTCTAATTCTTCTAACTACGCATATAGAAAACACTTTTAACAAAGTCCAACGTGCCTCTTTCAACCACACGCATCTGAGAGTGTGACTGACTGCCCTCCTGACAGCCACGTAAGAACCCATCTCAAAGAGCACAATCATGTCCTCATGTCACGTGTATGAATGGTGATAACTAACTTTTCTTTCAACAATTTCAGGAAGCCTTTAGTAGTGAAGTGTAGTCCTGGGTGTGTCCTTAATCAGGTAAAGCACCCACTGAGATGCCAGGAGGTTCCTGCAGTGGGTACTGGCGGTGATTACACGTATACAGCCCAGCAAGACCCTCACGCACCCCTGCACTCCTCCTCAGATGTACTTCTTTGCACGGCTCACTGCAGTCCAAGAGATTGCAACAGGAAAGTCCGCAGGTATACCTGAAGTGGAGCCAAAATATGTAAGGGTTTTGGCTTAATCATCAAAGCGTGCAACCTTGGAAAATGTAGCTCTGTGCCTTGTTGCAAGATCACAGCA